TTAGCCCATTTCTAGAACATTTGCTGTACAAAAAAATAAACAAAGTTATACATAAAAGAATTGTAAGGAAGTACATCTTGGTCGACTAATTCTTTCCGCTACCACTCAGTTCCGAAGCTATTCTCCTATACTACCATTGATTTAGAGAATAGCCGTTCGGTAAATAGAACGTAAGAACTCTATTTCGGGATGACTGCTGGGCTCGAGGGAACAAGCCAACGGCACAGCTAAACCCACAGTAACCGTAGAAATGTGAAAAACGTCTAATCAGTCAACAACGCCAATTGAACAAAAACCGAAAAAATAAATGCTTGCGATATCAGAAGCGTGTAACTACGGTTAGCACATTACTTATAGTCAATAAAACGTATGTTTGTCGAATAATAGAACGTTTTAATCCAGATAAATGCAGTATAGTATATTGCATATAATAGGAAAAAATCATTGTCAGAAAATTAACTATAGTCAACACTCCCCCTCAAACATAAATTTAAAAAATAATCAGTTCATAATAATAATTCTCGTTATTCAGTGTTTCACTGAGCCCTAGAACCACCATCTATAGACTATAATAATTATAATTACTATAGGTTAAGTATGTAAAATAAATTTACATTACATTAAATGATATAACTTTTGAAGTTCTGACTATCTGTTATCCACTCAAAATGTCTAGGTTAAATTTTCTGTACAAATATATTTTTTATTTTTTTTTAATGAGACTGGGAAAACATACTTTTTTATATATTATTTAACGTTTTACTGCTTTCAATACCACTGCATTGACCTGAACTAAATAATTCACCGTCTATTGTTTGATATAAATCGCAATAGTTTAACGGTGTGGTAAGTGGTAGCTCAAACCAGCCCAACCAAGTTTCTAATTTTCCAAACTTTTTTGGTTTAATGACGCTAAGGGTTGGTCGGACCGACAGGTTCCAGTTATATCAAGTCTCATTTTTGATTATGCAAACCAACAGCTGTCTGCATAGGTAGTTGAAAAGTCTTCGGATCACAACTTCTCAATGTTGTGATTTTTCATTGCTAAGTATACCTATTTACTATTTATTGAACATATAAAAGTTGCGTTAAACTATGGAAATCACCCATTGAGACATGTTTTTTACATTAGTCGTTAGCCTGATCGTACCTCAAGTTTATAGTTGATAAGTGGTATCACTGGTATCATGTGAAATTTGAATTATTTCTTTGTTGATTAATACACAAAAAAATTATTAAAATAAGCAGTTAGTTTATTAAGTTATGATTTTATCGACGAATTTGCAAACATCGCAACAGAATGTAGTTTGTACACCAACATATGCAACACAATAATATTTATATACTTTTTATGTATAGTGGTAAACACACATCTGATTAAAAACAACATACTCATAGCTCAAAATGTATTTTAAGACTCTAACGGGTATTAATTTAGTAATAAGTTTCCAGCTTTATTTTCTTTGATTGATGTTTGCTTGCAGTTAAGCATAAAAGCACCATCATATATAGTGTATCATAATTTATAGATTATAATCTATAAGCAAGTTACACGACACCAATGACGTGGTATACCCGTTGAATGATTTCATCTAACAATACCAACGTATATTATATGGATTTGAAATAATAACATCATAATATAATATTATTTGTTCCTTAACATGTCTATTAACTAGTATTTATGCCAAACAAAACATATATTGACGTACAAGTGCCACTGTAGTGTTTTTAACGTTACGCCAACAAATAAATCACCCGTCGA